AATACCTTATACTAAACTGCACCCCTGAGAGTCTCCATAAATGAGCTGACGGAGCTAAAGAAATCGAGGTCAGCACGGTAAGTATTTGCGAACCTAGCAGAACGAACAATGAAGGTATTACGTCCATAATTCGTCCTGTGGAAGGGTATTTGAAAAATGTTCGCTGAGCGGGTTGTCCTGGGTGGGACGTGAATTCCTATCTCTTGCAACAATTGAGGACACGGTACTCGAGAATTAAATATGTTATATAACATTATGAAATCTTTTTTGTTTCGACGGCTATTAATAGATTGGATATTCAGATATGTCTCCAATTTAGAGTAGTTAATATCTTCGACTCCAATACCCTGCTTAAAGGCCACATAACGTAAGAACTTATGCTGGACTCTTTCTAATTTGACAATATGTGAGACATAGTTTGAGGACCAAACACATGAAGCGTATTCTAAATGAGTTCTAACTAAAGAACAATATAAGATTTTAAGTGTGTTGATGTTTGTGAAATCCTGAGTAGTTCTTTTTAGAAATCCTAACATCTGTAGAGATTTGTTGATAATATTTGAAATATGTGGAACAAAAGATAGTTGTGAGTCAAAGTTGACCCCTAGATCTCTAATAATATTGCAGTTCTCCAAGATATTGGCACTGATTGTATATTGAAAATTAATTGTATCACGAGTTCGATGGAATATGATAACATTACATGTATCCGAATTTAGGCTCATTCCATTTAAGTCACACCAATTGACTAAGTTATCTAAATCAGACTGCAATGACACACAGTGAAGGTCAGATGATACTGTAGAGTACAGTTTGAGATCATCTGCAAATAAAAGGAATTTACCAAAATGAAAACAGGATTTAATATCGTTTACAAATATATTAAAAAGTAGTGGTCCTAGATGTGAGCCCTGCGGGACGCCTGAAGGTACGTGTATGCCGTATGACTTGTAGTTTGATATATGTACAATTTGACGTCTATCAATTAAATAGCTTTCTAACCAATTTAAAAGTGATCCATTTACCCCAGCCATTTTCAATTTGTGGATTAAAACTCTATGGTTTACCCGGTCAAAGGCTTTGGAGAAATCAGTATAAATAGAATGCACTTCATATCCATTTTCAAGGGCATTTGACAGGTAGTGGGAATATGTTAATAAATTTAATTCTGTTGAACTTTTACGTCTAAAGCCAAATTGTTGATCTATGAGTATATTGTTGAGTGAAGATTTAGAAAACTAGATGAAACTATAAAATCAGGCTGGCAATGTGACCAAGACGTATAATAAAATAAATAAACAGAAAGCCATATGTCACACCCCAGCTAGCACAAAAACATCCCATCTACGTTAATAAGCTGCAATTTTAGGCTCTTTAAGCTCGCATGCAATGTACTGTTAATGTAACCCTATCATCCCTGCAACCACCGAATGTCCGCAACGGCAAGACTTTTATAGCACATCTCACAGAGGTTACAAAATTAAAGTTCGGAAAACATCACACTAGCACTTTTACGGTACTTACCCCGAAAGTTGCTCTGAAACTTTCTATAGATGTTATAATGTGAATTCATTCTACAGCATTATACAGTGTGTCCACGGATGGACTTAACAATACTTGTAAAAATATTTATTTTAAATTTAAAAGTATTCTTCATAATTTCTTTTGCTTGTTAAATAAATACGATTAACGTTGAGAAATTATGAAAAAGAACTCTTGAAAATTTTAAAATAAATATCTTTACAAGTATAGTTATGTCCATCCTTGGATACACTATATTCAAAATAGTATATTGAGGATATAGTAAAATCTGAATAAAACAAAATAAAAAATTGTATAAATTTATTATTAAAAAGCTTTTGAAATCAAGAATCAATATCATACAAGTAGAGGTAGGTATTAATAATAATAATTAAAAACACTGACAAATTGGACAAAAGTAGGTATAAAGGGTATATAAGGAATATCTCAAAGGTTCACTAGAATCGAAAACACTGAACGCTTGCACGAAAGAGTATAATAAGGTACCTATATTGCAAAGGTTCACTGGTAGCTAAAATGGTGCACGATTGTACAAAAGTAGTAAAAAGTGTATTTATATAAGGTATATTTCAAAGGTCACTAGATTTTTATTAAGATGGCAGTTGTAGGATGCTAAAAAAAGATATTTGCCTACAACTGGTACTAATCTTAGTTTTAATATGATATAACTTGCTTAAACTGAATATTGATAAATGTAAAGTCATAAGGTTTAATAAAACAGCTAATATCATTATGCATGATTGTCATTGCAGGTTCTGAACTAAGTTTTGAGCAAACTATAAATGATCTTGATGTTATTTTTGAGAGGGACCTATAAGAGTTTGGAATGCAGATGTCGAGAAGCATCATTTGTTTTTCTGTATAAGTTATTGAACGGTTTGATTGATAGTGACAGCCTGGTACACTTTATTAGATTCCTTGTTCCAGCCAGACTTACTAGGCATATGAAACTATTTTATGTAAATGCTCATAGAACTAACTATGGACAGAATTTATTTGTAGACCAACTGATGTCCAATTACAATAAGTATTTTTCAAATTATGACATTTTAAAAGGTTTATTTTTTAAAGTGTCAACTTTTATTACACTATTGACTTCATTTTTATACTGTGACAATTTTATTAATTTCTTTTTTATTTTATTTTGATATTTTAATCATTTAGAACTTTATGTATCAGTAGCGTACTGTAAACAAATAAATATGTGAACTTAATTACATAGTTTCTTCCGTAAAAATAACTTTGTAGATAATAAATTTACTTGTTTTATTATTATTAAGAAAATAATATATATATATATATATATATATATATATATATATATATATATAGAAAATAAAAAATATGCTCGTTTAAATCGTTGCACCTATTTTTAGTTGATTTTTACTTACTTTGTTTTTTTAAATAAATAATAACATTTATTTTGACTTTTACAAATTTGATATTTATACAGAACAATGTTTTTTAGCATGATATTCTGCTATGAAAGAAAAAGAAATAATCTCAGATGTTATATATTCTTCTTCAACCAATTCTATATTAACTTTAGTTTCTAAAATTCCTGAGATTTTTACTAGAATTATAATCCAGCACAAAGGAAACCTAAAACACAATATTTTTAAAATTTATTTTTAGTGATTAAAATATTATTACACTAGGGCGACCATACTTACAGCAATTTTTCTGTATTGTAAAGCATTTTTAAAGTTTATCCAGCAATTGGTATTGTGCAGCAAACGTACAGCAAAATGGCATAGGTATATATGAAATGCTGTATTTATCCACCAAAACGTCACTACTGTCCAGCAATGGTAATACTTAATTTACTGAAACGTAACAAATTTAAATGTTATTTATCTTTAGTGAACTACATGAGCACTTCTATACTGCTGTTCTAGCAAGAAAGCTTTTATCTGCAAAATTAGCAGTTTTTTTTATGTGCATTTGTCTACATTTTATCTTTCTCGATACTTAAAAGGAATGTCTTATGTGCAACAAAGGTACTAAAATGTTAAAAAGTTACACAAAAAAAGGTTTAAAAGATAATAAATATAAATTTTCAGATAGGACTTCTCTTGTTAGGATGGCAGTATATGACTTCTCTGTTTTTGTATTTTTATAATTGGGAGTAGGGGTGAGTGTCAGTCAAAGGTATCAATACCGGTATCATGTGAGATACTTTGTGGTAGAGGCATCGATACTGTTCGATATTATGTTAAAGATATTGATATTTATAAGTCTCGAGTAACAAAGTATCGAAAAAGTAAAAGATTTTTGTTAAACGGCTGGCAACCTCCATTCAACAGGACGGAGTAGGGAACTTAACTAATAACAAGAGTGCATCAGTAAAGTATATTCTGTAGTCGACACCTTTTCTTTCTCTACTGGTACTCTACCTGGTACAAGTTATAGTGTCAATAACTGGCAATTTACCTTATAATTAAATAACAAAAAAACAGTGGTAACGCTTAATCATATTAGCAAGTTTTACCACATGCAAAAACTAAAATATTTCAGTACAAATATTTGAACAAACCTTATAATCTCTGACCACACACATAGCGATACAATACTTGCTTCTAAGTATAACTATGCCGATAGTATTGGTAATTCAGTGCCTAAATATCGATACTTTCATTGTTTAATATCGTTACTTCTATAGTATTAAGGCATCAATAAGATCCCTATTATCGTGTAAAATAAATATTTCATCATTTAATTGTATCTACTTGTTTACAATGATTTATTTTTTATTGTATTTGGAAATTGAAATTTTACCATCTAAAACAACAGACAATAAATTAGAAAATTAGAAAATTTATTGAAAAGAAGAAAACAACTTACCAAACTTATTCAAACGTATAGTTTCCAATTTCTTTAAAATCACAAATACGTACAAGAAAAAGTGACAAGTGACATTTTTTTATGTTTTGTTGGTTATGACAAACGAATGGCTACGTTCGAAAGTCCATAGTACTTCTCGTGGAAACTTTTTTAGCAAGTTACTTAATTACGTTGTGTTATCATAACAGGCAGGTTAAATACGTAAGTAACAAATAGATGTTTCGCGAGGTTTTGATTTCCCTCAACAACTTCTCATTAACGTTGCAATTACGTTGTATGGGTATGTTATTATGTTCCCTTAAAACAACATCGCCGAAAGGCTTGGTAACGTTATGTGCTAGCTGGGACAATATTTGAGCGATCGTTATCCTTCGGACAACAACTATTCCTTTGGTTAATACCGCAACGGGTGTTGAATTATTTCCAAAGGAAAGACAGCAGAGATAGAAATTTAATTTCAACACTCTAATTATTTTACGTCTTGGTCACATTTAAGTTGGAAATATTTCCTTGTTTTAAATTTTTATAAACTTTACGTAATTATTATCTAAATATCTACAAAATAAATTGCGTATCAATATGTTTATTTCTAATATTTTGCCACAAAAAAATAATAGGTACTTGAGATAAAATGTACAGATAAACATCGCTACGCGTCAGCCTATAAAGTGAGAATCGTTGCTTTAATTTCTGGAAAGAGGTTTGTTTTTTTTTGTTTTACGCACCAAAGTAAACATGAAAGTTTTAATAATTTCTTTAGCCATAGCTTGCTTTGCAGCAATTACAGCTTTGCCTGCTGTAGAATTAGGTAAGTATCAATTTTCATTTCTAACTATTGAAAGTATTTGTGGGTAAAATGGCTTTTAACTATTTTTTATGTGTTCTGATAGAATTTTAACACAATTGGGTCATAGCGACACAATTTTTATTTAAAACAATTTTTTGTATATGCAATAGTGACCATGGATAAAGGGTATGTAATCACGTTACACAAACTAACGGTATGTTCCTGCGCATGCAGCTGACTGACGGTGACGTCACGTGGGACATATAATTATTAGCTGTAAATGGAAGATAAGAGCCCCGCATACCGCCTGATCAATTCAAATGCGGGATTTGCTGGTTGCGTCGTCTCTAACATCCATCTCTTTTTATCGAAATAAACAATATCAACTGAGAATACATTGAAAAAGTTGTTTCTAAATTCGGATACGCGTATATAAATACGGTAATAGAAGCGAAACGACGGTTAGCAAAAAAACTGTGTTTTACCGTTTTTTAAACTATATACGCCAATATGACGAAAACTGTGCAAAAATTCGTAAAAATTTATTCTTGATTATTATTAGGCAAAAGCTTAAGGATTCTAATAGTTTTCAAATCATATTTTTATCATAAGTCATAAGCGAGATAATTAAGGTAAACTAACATTATGTCACAATATGCTTGATGTACAGAAGAATATAACTTATTAACATATTTATAAGTGCGAAAATTGCTTACAGGAATTTAAAGTGGTAGATATATTTTGTATTTTTTAATTTATTAAATGTCGGGATAAAAGCTAAAAGATGTGCAAATTTTTATGTTCTAATAAAAAGTTGAATTATAAATTCAAATAACTAATTAAATTTAATTTTTTTAAAAAATTGTTCAAATAAAAGTTGTTCTCTATAATTCTTATTCCACACAAAATTTCTCTAAAATAGACCGTATTCGATTTATTTGAGAAAACGTAAATTTTGAATTTAAAAAAAAAAAAACAAAAAAGGAAACAGAGAAAAATAAAAAATTTTAAATTTAGTCTGTAATCCATCCTGCGGTAAAATGATTAAATTTTGGTAGTCGTAACATCTGGGGGATACCTTATAGAGGGTCGTTTTTCTACTTTATGAAATATATCTGTTATTTACACTTAGAGAAGAAAATTCTTCAAATAAAAGTTGCATATAATGTTATTCCCTATAGTTTTTGTTATATACATAATTTTTCTAAAATGTTCCATATTCAAGAAATTTGACAAAAAGTGCAAAATTCCAATTTGTAAGAAAATTGCTCAAATAATAAAGTTATTTGCGAAATTATTCTCTATAATTTTTATTCTTTATATAATTTCTCTAAAATGGACCGTATTGGAAGAATTTGAAGAAAAATATAAAATTTAAATTTTTCAGTATTTTCGTTGTCAATGAATATTTACAGGGGTTATACAAAATAACCGGAAAAAGATTGTAATAACTAGACAGGAAAGTCATGTGTTGGACACATCAGATTTTTAAATATAATGTTTTGAGTGTCGTGACAGTGACGGTTTATATTTATTTTTAAGAGAAATGAAAATAAGTATTGTACTAATTGTTTTTAAAAATATATGAAATGATTATAATTTCACCTAATGTCTATCGGCAAAAGACCGGTAGGCCTTCGTTCAAGCTGACGGCCCTCTTTCAGGCAGTGGGCCCTCTTTCAGGCAGTGGGCCCTCGTTCGGGCAGTGGGTCCTCGTTCGGGCAGTGGGTTCTTGTTTAGATTTTTTGTTTGCAGATTACATTATAAGGTTTATTGACAAAGTCCAAATTGACATAACATTTATACCTAATACTTAATTAGGCAGGATCGGTTTCGTGGCCAATATAAATCAAACAATTTTTGTCATAAAATATATTTATTGTGTTATCTTGCTTGTTGTAATTTTAATATTCACTGTTAATGAAATAAACTGATAAAGCATTGTATGCTTAACTTTAAACCTAAGAAATTGCATAGGTACCTACATAAATAATCTGTCTACTTTTGCAAGTTTTGGTCAAAAATTTGTTTAGGTAAACTTTAATACGATGGAAATTAACATATTTTACTGAAGTACATTGCTTTTAAAATTCTATGTGATAAAATTTTGTTCCTAAGTTATGTTCATAGGAAAAATTGTATACATAACTCGTTGAAAATCGTTATTTCTGCACTCTCACTTTCCAAATTAGTTTTGGAATATACCATTTTTTTACTTCTTTTACGCTTCTAAAAAATGTATTGCATTTAACTTCTCCCAAAACATAATTAAAAATAATAATTTTTTTATGGGAGGAACTTCCTACAACTAATATTTCTAAAACAATTACACATAATCTGGTGGTCTGCGCATCGCAGGTTCTGTCTCCGACCTTCGTGTGGTAGCAGTTCTTGCTTACAACACTGAGTATCTAACGCAAACCACATAAAAATAGTACTAAAATTACTTACGTCCTCCAATATTGTTACAGGTTCTTTTTCTTTTTAAAGAACAACACAAATAGTTTTTATTAATTTTAGATTTTCTTTTTGGATTTATTTATTTTTAAAAACTAAATATACAACAACGCAATCACCGCACAGTCACAGAAACAATAGATGCACACGTTATGCAGTCAAATTTAGTATAACCTACTGTTATTGTATTGTACTCTTAGGCCCGGTTTTTCAATGTAATGTTAACTTGGAGGTTAACTAACTTCTACTTGAAGGTTAACTTTTAGTTAAAATAAGAAACGTTTTTTAATGTAAATTGTACTTCTTGTTAATTGACCTAGATTTTAATTTGGCAACGTTGTATTTTTATGTGTTCTGTGATGGTTCTGTGGTATTCTCCCGGTGAATATATTGCCTTTCATCGTGGGTATTCTAATGTTGTTTTCCTCGATGAATGACATATTCAAACTAAAAAAGAAAGATAACTTATAAAGATTTAAGAAGACGCCAAATTTTCAATTCTTGGAATTTGGAATGTTTCTATAAATCTATTCAAGAATCTATTATTTAGACAGAGACAACATTTCACTGTAGGTCCCGAACTTCATCAATGATCATCTCAACAGTCCGCTTCGACAATCTAAATATTTTGAAAAAATCTAAACTAACATATTGTTCCATAAAATTAAGCCTCTGTCGAATTATTTTTGGCCTTCTCACTATTTTTTCCTCTTCGCTATTGTAGACATTAACAATATTTAAAGCATCCATAATGTCAAAGCACATGTAGGTTATAAAGTGAAGATTATCTCTTAACAATGGGTTAACAGTACCCTGAGAGTAAGGTTAAAATTAGCTTTCGGTTAGTCTTTAACTATCAATTGAAACACAGAAATGTTTTAGTTAACATTCAGTTAGCTCAAGGTTAGAGTAACTACACATTTAAAAACCGGCCCTTAGTACTTTTAGTAATTAGGAATTTTTAAAACAATGGGCGTGTCAAGCGTTTGATCTCCTTTTTTCTTTTACCCTGTTCTTTAGTATCCGGTCGGCGTAATAAATAATTATCATAGGTAGGTAATAGGTAATTAGTAAATTATATTTCTTGTTTGGAACTAAGATTTCTTACAAAACCATTTGCTCAAATTTAGGTATATTGTTTATAAAAATTCTTTACGGATTTAAAATTATTTTGCTAATTTTCCAACGAAGAGATTCTAATAAAATACATGCATTTTAGCATTGTATTCATTTAATTTAGTATATAAGTAACTAATATTTAATGTAGCCTTATTATTTATATAGTCCGTAATAATTATAATTACGAGATATTGTATATGTGTTTCAATAAAATATCTACGCTTAGCACTTTCAGTGTTATGTTTTCCAGTGTATGCTGAGAATCCCGTCTCTAATGGTCTACGTATTACTTAGTTCTAAAAAAATCCGCCGGGTTTTGCGATGGCAGCAAAAATCAGTGGCAATTACTTAAATTTTATTTTGATCATATCTCTCTTATTTGGTGAGAAAAAATTCTCCGGTTTTTTTTAATCGGTTTTAAATTTTACTTGTAAAGGAGGCTGTTTTTTAGAATTTCAATTTTTATCGTAGTAAATAAAAATTTCATAATTTTTTTTTCAAAAATGTAAAAAACACGCTCCAATTGTATAAAAATTACCAATCGACTAGTGAAAACAAAAAAAATATATTTTTAAAAATAAGGACGTTACGGTCAAAAAACGAAATATATGTGGTGTGCGGGGCTCTTAATTTGATATTCGCCGGTTTTAGATTTTATTCAGTTACTTAAGCTTTATTAATTATTTTGTAATATTTATATTCGTTTACAAATATGAAGGTTTAATGTAAATAATACTAATAAAAATATTAATTTTTCTCATAATTTATAGGTATTTTGTGACAAAATCCATACCCTGACCATACGATAAGTAAAGAATATAGACTAAAAATACAAATTTGATTCCATTTTGTACTTTCTGGGCGTAGTAAGTTCAAAAGCGTGTTTTTGGGACATACTTTTACGAAAATTATGTTCAATAGCTCATTCGATTCGGAATAATGTCTAGATCAATGTGTGGAGAAAAATTTTGCAGTGCATAAAAAATTGCAAAAGTTATAAACAATTAAACAATTAAACACCTCAAAAACATGGTGTTTGGTTTTTCGCCTATAGTTTGTAAACTATAAATATTTTTGGATTTTTCAAAAAAGATCCTTAAAGAGGAGGAAATTTGCTATAAATAAGTTCCATCTCCCGGAACTGTACCTCCATTATTTATAATTTTAATTTAACGCTCAAAGTAGTCTTCGGCGCGCCATTTTTAGGTTGCGCGCACGGCGTCGAAACCGAGTACGTTACATAATTTAATTTTTTTAAGTTAATAAAATTAAATTCAAAAATTTAAAAAAATTACGGTGTATTCTAAACACTTAGAAGAATTAATTCCCGTTGGAATTTTTCATAAAAATTAATTTTCCAACAAAGTAGGTTATTGTTAATTAACAAAATTTTTAGAATTTCTCTCATCATTACAAATTGATAAAAATATTAAATAATTACCGTA